TATATCTCCCCAGCAGAATATAACTTAAAGTGGAACTACAACCTCCTATCTTTACAGCCAAAGAAGGTGGCATCTTAGCCTCTATTTGGGCTCCAGTTGCCATGGTGCTGCACACATGATCAGCTAGGGCACCACCCATTTGGGGGCTTAAGGGTTCCGTTGAGAACTAAAATAAATGCACTGACAACCTTGGCAGTTATTGCCAGAGGCATATGCCTAGAAAGGAACTGTTTTGGGAGACTGTTAAATTGGAGGGTCAAGTTCTGCTTTAACCTAGCAGATATCACTTCTGACTGCCTGCTGTCATTTAGCATTTTGTGAGCACAATGTCAGATACTGAACAGCAGTGATAAGAGAAATAATAATTGTACAAATGTTTCTTTTTAAATTACTACACTAATTACTTGGAAACTGCAGCAAAACAACACCATTCTTTTTTATTTAGTTTTTTTTGTATCTTCATACAGCAATTAGAGAACAAGTACAGGTGTAATGGAGGGAAATTCATAATTGCTTAGTTCACAGTAATAGGGAAACAAATAAGAATGTCTTATGCAGTATCATTGCTTATCTTTTATTAATTAAATATATTAACATTACCATCTATAAAAATTACTGTATACATAGAGCTTTACAGGTATGATTTTGCTAGCTATCCTAAAATATATGTGTATGTAGTGTATATGCTATATAAAAAACCTACACAAACAGCCTTGGCACAGTCCAATTGAACAGGAAAACATACAGGTTCCTTTTGGAGCTCGAAAATCTGCCTTTTTCTCTTTACCAATTATAAAAAAAATCATACAGGACATTCATTCAGGATAGAGCCTAATCAATAAAAAATGCAGCAGAAAGTAAAGATTTAATCAGGTGTGTTGTTCATTCTGATTTATTGTTTAGGAATAAAAAAAAACTTCACTAAAGCTGCCCATACACCTTACAACCATCGCACGACTTTCGTTGTGCGATGGTTGTAAGGTAATTAAAATTTCGTACGATCTGCCCATCTTGGACAGGCAGATCGTGCTTGCGATCATCGCAAGCCCTCCCCACCGAGGGGAGGGCTATCGATGATTGCAGTGCTGAGCGGGCACACCGGCCAGTGCGGCATTCGTCTCCCAAGCACGCCACTCACTAACCCGCCGAAAATCGTACAATTTTCGACAGGTTTTCAAGCGTGCTCGGAAGACGAATGTCGTGCGACCTTACAGTAGAAGAGGTTGCACGCTGCCTATACACCTGCCGATTATCATACAATCACGGGATCACCCTGCGATTATCGTACGATAATCAGCAGGTGTATGGGCACCTTTACTCTTTAAATATTTGACCACAAATAATTCAGAAAACAGCACAGATTGTTATGAAGTACAGAGTGGACAGCCAGTTACTGTCTGTCAGGCACATACTGTGATAAAAAAAACATCACAGTGATTGCGGTCTTTGCTTGGGACTATGTATAGCCAAGTGCACACTAGGGATCTTAAATATTATTCGTTCCCAAAAATGAGCTTTCATACCTGCTGTACAATTTGTCAGAATTTTCTTTCAATAGATCACGCTCTTTTTCTAAATCACTGATGCGACCAAGTAACTAAGAGGGAAAGAAAAAACACATTACTAAGGCTGAAGGTCAGGAAGAACTATCAGCTTTCATTTGTTAAATTTAGCAGTTGAATTTATGCGTGTCATCTGCAGAGAAAATAAAGGACATACATCAGCTTTGGCTTGTTAAATGTACTGAAAGCAGAAGCATGCCTCCCTGCACCCTCAGAATTCACTTCACCTCCCTCGAGCCCAAATACATGCACATTTATTCCACCAAGTACTTGCAAACGCAATTTCATTTATATCATCCTACTTCCATCACAGCTGAATTGATGTGTGCCATCTATATCAAAACTAAATGGCCTATTGTTATATTCATAAATATCATTGAATTCAAACATATTTACATGCTTAGATTTACCTGAATTTGCTCTTGTCTTTTGAGCAAGTCATATACATTTCTAGTGGAGACAGAGGGTAAAAGCCACTTCATGCAAATTAAAGGCAGTGGATGGAACCACAGCATGAATCACAAAAGCATACTTAGTAATGTGTCAGATGTGAAGATTCTGCTGACAACTTTGCTCTGCAAGTGATCAAAGATTCTAGGAATGGGTAGTGGAAAAGGTAAATATAAAAGGTCCTCTTTTGCAGGATATATTTTTTAACAAAATTGCTTTTATATGCAGTGCAACAAAGGGCTTAGAAGAACAAGCAGTACTGAGTGAGGCTGTTCTCTATAAGAAATCAAAGATAAAATGAATGACTGGAAATCCCCCCAAAAATTTATAAAACCAAAGATTTACCATCCATAAAAATGAATTATCAAAGTATATGATTTGATATTTAAAAAAGGACACTCAGCACTAACATACCTAACAGTGACTGTGTTATAAGAATGGCAAACATTGCTGTAATATCGATTTCTTATTGAAAAAAAATCAAGATATTAATGAATGCTGGTGAACACTGCTCAATCAGGCAAATGCATCAAAAAATCCTTAGGGCGTGTTTCTTTTAGAATTTTGTTATACTGAGCCTGATGAAGGGGACCCTGCGTAGCCCCGAAACGTTGCTTCAATGTGACAACATGCGTCAATAAAGGATGATCCCTTCACTATTTTGTCTGGTGTGCTGGTGACACTTTGCACCCTTCTGAAAGCAGATATCCCACAAGTAATAGGAAAGCTAATACTTCTCTATTTACAGATTGTATTTATAGAGCCAGTATAAGCTTCCGATGTTACTTAGCAGTAGCAGTGGCAGGAGAATGGGACCAGGTGCTTCTCTGGTCTCAGCAAAGTAGCTACCTAACCTCAATGTTTTTATTTTGACCACCAATGTAATGTAGGTACTACACCACTGACACCAACGTACTAACATCACTTCACCACTAATCCCAATGTAATGCATAAACTTCTCCATCGACTATTATGTAGCAGGGGGACTTCACCATGGACACCAACATAATTGGGGCAATAAACCACTGTTCATCTATTTAATAAGGGAACTACACCAATATGCTAGCATATCTATATTGATCTATATAGATCGATATAGATATGCTAGCATTCTAGCAATAATTTCATTTAGTCTAGTCAGGAGAAATCCTAATACTTAGTATAACTATACATCATATGCCTTATGAATGTTGTGCCCTGTCAAAAGAAACATACAAGCTCAGAAATAGTATTGCTAGAGAGGAATGACTGCTTCATGGTGGGAAAATGTTTGGGGCACAACGTAGGCCTCTAAAAATTAACAAAGGACATTGGTCACAAACGGCAGAGAGAGTGCAGAGGTATTAAACAGGTTTTTCTATTCAGTTCTTACAGATGAAAAAAACAGTTCAGTAATTATAACAGCAAGGTTAATAATGATGTACCAGGGGTATGTCTTTGGCTGACAGAAAGCCGGATACAAGACAGGTTATGGAAACAAATCACCAGGTCCAGAAGCAATGCACCTGCGAGTCCCCAGGTAACTTAGCTTGGTTATAGCGAAGCCACTATATCTAATTTTCAGACACCTTACTGACTGGAATGGTAACCTGGGCCAATTTTGTATGACTTCAACTTTGGTGATTTGGGGTTCATCTGGGGATTGGCTCAAAGACAATCACACACTTACTGGGATTAGTCATCAGACCAGCATCCCAGAGGACAGCCCACACCTGAAGATGCTAAGTTTTGATGGGGCTTGAAAATATGGTCCATAATCTTCTTAAAAGGTAACTAGAGCCCCATGCAAGCCAAATGACAACCTCTTATGCTAAAAGTGCCCTTCTGGAGTAGAAAAGGCAGTTGTTTTCTTGGCTTGGTCTGTTAATGGTACTTGTCAACTGTGGTAAGTTATGATTGAAATATGCTTGCAAGATATAATTAGGGTGTATGTGGACATATACTTATGTGTTGAAGTAAATTTCGTTTGGCCATTATTATTTAACATACTTCAGTTTTATGTTAATTAGGTTTTATTGTGCTAAACTTTCTGACCAGTTGGGCCTCTGATAAAATTGTTTTCAGGGTGGTGTTAGCTGTAAATAATGGAAACAGCTGTAGAGAGTTTTTGTCAGAACAAACCTGTTTAGTTCACTAGATAAAGGAACATCAAAGGGGTCACCAGAACAGACAATCAGAAATACACTATATTGCTAAAAGTATTGGGACGCCTGCCTTTACACGCACATGAACTTTAATGGCACCCCAGTCTTATTCCGTAGGGTTCAATATTGAGGTGGCCCATCCTTTGCAGCTATAACAGCTCCACCTCTTCTGGGAAGGCTGTCCACAAGGTTTAGCAGTGTGTCTATGGGAATGTTTGACCATTCATTCTTCCAGAAGCACATTTGAGAGGTCAGGTACTGATGTTGGATGAGAAGGCCTGGCTTGGAGTCTCCGCTCTAATTCATCCCAAAGGTGTTCTATCGGGTTGAGGTCAGGACTCTGTGCAAGCCAGTAAAGTTCCTCCACCCCAAACTCGCTCATCCATGCCTTTATGGACCTTGCTTGGTACACCGGTGTGCAGTCATGTGGAAACAGGTAAGGGCTATCCCACAAAGTTGGGAGCATGAAATTGTCCAAAATGTCTTGGTATGCTGATGCGTTAAGATTTCCCTTCACTGGAATTAAGTGACCAAGTCCAACCCCTGAAAAACAGCCCCACACCATAATCCCCTCTCCACCAAAATTTTAGGCACAATGCAGTCAGGCAAGTACCGTTCTCCTAGCAGCCGCCAAACACAGACACGTCCATTGGATTGCCAGACAGAGAAGTGTGATTCGTCACTCCAGAGAACATGTCTCCACTTGTTTAGAGTCCAGTGGTGGCATGCTTTGCACCACTGCATGCAACGCTTTGCATTGCATTCGGTGATGCAAGGCTTGGATGCAGCTGCTCTGCCATGTAAACCCATTCCATGAAGTTCTCTGCACACTGTTGTTGTGTCAATCTGAAGGCCACACAAATTTTGGA